CTGAAAGGGGCGTAATTCCTCGAAAAGCTTAAATACTAGTTATAATAAATTTTTGTGCCAATTATTTTTTTGACTATTTTAATTATACATTTAAAGAATCGACAAATTCTCATACCGTTTTTCAGAAAATATTTGTTTTTTGGACCTTTTCTAGATTTGTGAACTGTGATTTATATTTCCCATGGATACATATTGCAAAAGTATAATTATATCTTATCTACATCTAACATAACTACAAAACATTTTTCGGATCATGTTCCATGTACTTCAACGATTAAATAATAAAATTTGGTATCTGGTATCTAAGTATCAGTTTTTGATATGCAAATCTAGCAGATAAGAGTGCAATCAAAGATATGGAGAGTATAAATATTAATACGAATGAAACAATTCTTTGTCAAATAAATATAAATAGACATTTTTAATTTTAATCTCAAATAAAAAATATGAGGTCAAGAAACATCAGAAAAAGTACTGATTTCAACAGTTTTTACTTTAGTTATTTTCACTATCATCTTCTTCAGTTCTATCCATCTTGGAAGTTTTTTCTTTCTATTATCATATCTAATTTATCTTTAAAATATCTTCAAGGTGTTGCTATCTTTCTTATTCCCATCAGACTCCAATCTGTAATTTTATTTCTTCAGCTGCGCCTTTGTTTTACTTCTTTATTGTCCAGAAAATCGGTTTTTTTCTTGTTCTAATCATTTTATTTCTCTTACAGTTAAAATATTCTTTTCCATTGTGTTTTACTTGGTTTCTGAAGAATTTACTTGTCATTTTGCCCTTGATTATTTTTCGTTATGTCTCTTAGTAGCTCTAATTCTTTATATTCCGTGGTTTTCTCTTGCAGATGGTGACAATGAATATTCCTTTTAAGGTTTTATTGATATTAAAATCAAATTCGATCAACTATTGTGATATTGGCTAAACAACATCGAATCATCGAAAAGAAGAGAAAAACAATTTTGAATCAGAACTTTTATTCGAACTGTTGGCATTTTTACACGAATTTAAAAAAGGACAATGTCCTACGACCCTTAAGACTCAAAAGACTCAAGTTGACCTTTTTTTTTCAAAAATTCACACTATTTCAAAAACTGAATTCTTCATTGAATGGCAAACTTTAAATTTATATAAGTAGCAATATCTGCGGTTTTAACCAATGAAAATTCATGTTTTTTTTTTAATTTGGGATATCTCGTTGCATAGATTATAAAAATGCAATTGATTATTTTGTGAATTGTTTATTTAAAAGAGTAATTTGTTTAAACCATTTGAAATAAATATTTATTGTCCAAAATTTAAGTTTTCTTTTATTATTATTAGTAGAAAAGGTTATACTTATAATAGTGAAATTTGGAGGGAGGTAATAAACAGACGTAGACTTCTTAACTAGTCATAACAAGTGACGTAATATTGACAGATGACGTTACAGCGCCATTGTGACAGATAATTTTAAATAGGACCTTATAGCAAGTGATACTTCGTTTGAAAGGTATTGAAAATACTTATTCAACCAAACTAATTTTATTTAAGTTTAAGCTCATTTTTTTCAATAAATTAAATAAACTAAAATTGTAGTTTCGCATTTAATTAATAAATATTAAAACCTCCGCCTCCGGTTACAAAAAAGTTGACGTTTGTCAATTCTCTACTTAGTTGTTTTTAGTTTGCAAAAGCGTTTATAGCTCAATATTTAGTTTCTGTTTCTGCTTAGTGTAGTCAATTCTCTAGTTATTTTTAGTTTGCACTAAACACTTTAGTGCAATGCATGCATCCGTTGGAAAAGCTAAAAAAACAGCCATGGAAATCGAGGTGCCACAGGACTGGACAAATCTTATCAAAGCAGTTTACAGAAAATACAAACTTAGCGTATTTGAGGTTTGCCAAGGAGAATTTTTCAATTATGGAGAGGTCCTAAAAAAGATTTAGTACACAGAAAAAAAATGAAGCAATGGATTTGGTACCGTGGATGCAAATCAAACAAATAAAGTTTCAAGAAATCTTCAATATCAGTTTTTGTATAAAACTGACTTTAATGATGGTGATTTTAAAAAAAGTGGATCTTAGAAGGGGATCCATGCTAAATCGAGATAGTCTTGCATTTTCTAAGCAGGTAAAACCTTTAAACCTTGAACAACTACCAACAGCCAACCAAAAATATGATGATTTAATGCAGTTGTTGCCGTACATTATAGTGTATTTTTATGTATGAGAGAGTAATAAAACAATAAATTATGTATGCAAATCCCTAAACTGTTGATACGGGTGACTCAATGAAAAACAGATATTTGTCAACAAGTTTACAGAAGTATATAGGAAAACAATTTTAAATTGAGTATGACCACCAGGTATAAAGGTTGGAGCAGAATAGAATACAATACTTGTGAGGGTTACTAATCCCTAAATAAGGTTGCCAGTGTCGGAGTGATGGAGGTTAACAGGTACTAATGAATTTGCAAGAAATGTAAGATGTTTATTTTATTGGTTATATATAACCAATAAAAGTTTAATAAGTTCCTACCTATTTGCAAAATAAAGTTTAATTCTTTAAAACCCATTCCACGAAGTAAGGGTTTCAACAATCAAACATTCAATTCTTTAATTCCAGGAATCTACGACAGTAATTGACTAGATAATTACCTTCTAAACTTATTCCACAGAAAATGTGATAGTGGGTTTTTCCATTTTGTAGGAAGGTCCAAGTGGCGTATTCAAAATTCTTAACAGTTCACTAAAAGTAGGTACTCCAGTTGCAAGGTGCAGTTTATTGTGTATACTAGTGTTATGGAAGATTTGGAAGTGCCGTGTAAACGCCGAAAAATTGGTCCTTTAACAGTTAATGAAAAAACATTAATATTTAATTGTTTTAAATCATTTACAGACAAACGTTTATGTGAAAGTGTTGATGAGACTGTTGAGTTAGTTAGCAGTACACTTGGTGTTGGGAAATCTACGATTTACAGAGTTATTAAAGAAGAGAAATGTGGTAGTTTTCAAATGCCACGTAATGCTCCAGGGAAACCAAAATTTCAAATAGAATATCATTTTAAAGAAGGACTTCGACGGAAAGTGCATGAATTCTTCTTTAGACAAGAATTTCCAACATTGGATAAAGTTCTTGTCTCAGTTTGAGATGATAACGATTACCCAGAAATGAGTCGAAGTACGTTATGGAAACTTTTAAAAGAAATAGGCTTCCGCTGGAAAAAGAATCCCAGAAAGTCTATTTTATTAGAAAGATGCGATATTGTCATATGTAGAAGACATTTTCTAAGAACCATAAAGGAAATGAGAAACCGAAAAAGAAAAATATTTTATCTTGATGAAACATGGATCAACGAGGGTCATACACCAAATAAATTTTGGCAGGATGAAACTGTTACAAGTCAAAGGCACGCTTTTGTAAATAACTTATCTACTGGTTTAAACCCACCATCAGGAAAGGGACGCAGGCTGATAATAGTACATATTGGCAGTTCAGACGGTTTTGATGAAGGTGGTTTATTAACTTTTGAATCAACTCGTACCGGTGACTACCATGAAGACATGAACGCTGATGTCTTTCAAGAATGGTTCGAACAAATGATAGATCTTCTTCCTAAGAACTGTGTAATAGTAATGGACAATGCAAGTTATCACTCGAGACTTATAGAAGGACTGCCCACAACCAAGTGGTTAAAAAAAGACTTGCAGAATTGGCTGAGTTCAAAAAATATTACGTACCATCCCGGATCTATAAGAAAGAAACTTTATTCGTTGTGTGCCCTTCATAAAGAAAAATTTTAAAAATACGAAATTGATGAAATTGCCAAAAATCGTGGAATGACAGTACTTAGATCCCCACCATATCATTGTGAATTAAACCCGATTGAACTGGTATGGGCACAGATAAAGAGTGAAGTTTCAAGAAAAAATACCACTTTTAAAATTCATGATGTTAAACAGTTGTTTTTGGAGGCCGTAAATAATGTAAAACCTGAAAACTGGGAAAAGGCAGTAAATCACACTATTAAAGAAGAGGAAAAAATGTGGAAGCTGGACAATATTACTGATAAAATGATCGAGCCAGTTATTATAAATCTTGGTTCTGAAAGTTCATCTTCTGAATCTGATTTGGATTTGTAACAAGTAGCTGTAAGTTTTATATTAATATTTTTATTCATCTATTTAACATACCTTAGACGGTTTTAAAAACTCTTCTTCTCTTTTGTAATTTTTAAAAATTAAAAAAAATGTGAATTTTTTAAAACCCTTTTTAATGTAGGCCAGTCAGTTCTAATATAGTGTGTGATAAAAGAGGTCACTTTTGTTTACATACACATAACACTTTATAACACTGAAATAATTCATTTATTTTTTACAATTATTCAAAGTAATTTTTTCAATTAATCTTGAGCACGCCCATGGAGTGGTCGGAGATACCAGTTAAAATTATGCTAATTACTCTCTCGTTCATAAAAATAAACTATAGTGATCATAACAAAACTTATTTTAAACAGTTCAAACGTTCTTCAACATTAGATGCCAATGACTATCCTGATTTAGATGAAGAAATACAGTAAAACTACAAATATTTTGTTTTTATAGAAAGCTTTGTTATTTCTTAAATACTTAAATAAACGAATTTTGCAAAATACATATTTTATTCCAGAGCCAATATCCAAGAAAAATTACTATATTTTAATTTTTAAAGGACCAAACTCCTTCAAAATTCAAACTTACTTAACATTTGACAACAATATTTGGTAATAAAAATACTTCTTTTATTTTACTTGAAATTTCGTTATTAGTAATCAAAAATCTAATTTACCTAAATTTAAAATTGACATGTTACTTTTCCTGGAACTTAAATTGTTTACTACCCAAAACAACGAAAATTGAGTTTTACCCTTTTAATACTCAGATCCAGAAATTCGATGATAAATAGCAAATGGTTATTTTCAATTAATTTCTTTCTTATATCTATAGTTTAAAACAGTTGTGCAAAGACTTACCTGAATATCATTTTTGATTCCCAAATTTTGAACACCTGGTTTATTATTGTCAAGCTTTTGATTCTCCTCCTCATCGACGACCCCATTCCTAACTTCCACCTCGTTCTTTTCAGTTTCGGGCATACTATCACTTTCCAGATGGTCCTCCTCGACAGATTCTTTGGCAGAATCCCTATCATTGTCGTCACTGACTTTTTCACTACTACTAGATGATTTTGATGATACAGAAAGGTTTTTAATGAGCGAAGCACTCAGAACTTCGATGCTGACACCTTTGCCGTTGGGTCTTATTTCAAGCTCTTCAGATTGTCTGCTAGTGCCAGCAACAGAGCTGGAGTCTCTGTTGGAATTGATCGAACTTACACTAGAAGATAGACTACCACTGCTTTTGCCAAGAAGGTTAGATTTATTGGTGGGTTTAGGTTTGCGAAAAGAGATTAAGGAAGAGCTTAATTTCACTGGTTTTTCCTTTTTCGGTCCTTCAAAGTCAATCACCATAGAAAATATGTTCTTCTTGGCGGATGTATTAGGTGGTGAAGCCGGACTTTCGGTGACATCGCTCAAATCTACGTAAAAACCTAAAGGAGATTTCCTAGATGCCTCCGTTTCTTCAGAATCTAGCTGGACTATTGAGTTATAAGGGGTGCTAGTCTCGGGAAATTGGGGTACATTTAAGGTGGTCGAAGAGTAAGAGAAATGACCGTCATGGGGAATTTGCACCATCGAGAAATGGGGTACCGCAGTTTGAAACAGCACAGAACCCTGTCTTCGTTCATCTGTCCTGCGTTGGTCAACAACCTCGGAATCGTCAGACAAACTGGCAGCATCAATAAAACAACCGCTAAGCAACTGCTGGTTGTGAAGTTGTTTTTGTTCCTTCGTGCGACTCCTGCGGTCTTCATCACTGCCCAGTCCCGAATCCATATCACTTTTCACATGCTTTCTATTCATCGAGGGTAGCTCACTCGCGACCTACTAATACTATTACCTATATTTTGATTTGATCATCAATAAATACATGAAAATAAGGCTCTGCGACACCTACACTGCGAATTTAACTCTAAGCGAGATCGAGTTTAATTCATCGTTTACGAAAGATTTGTTGATTAATTCGGTCGCTAGATACGGTTTACGCGATTCGATCATTGATAAATAAATACAGCGACGAGACCGAAATGAAACAATTCGACACCGAACAGGTTTCCTGTCAAATAAGGGCAAACAGACGAATGCGACTGCGTGAGCTTTGAATACAGTCCGTAACAGAGAAGTGGGAAAGAGTAGCGGTGTTGCCGGGTCATATGTTACTGTCGACCAATACAACTCTTTAATTAAAACTCTGTGGAGACTAATTCAGTAAAATTAGTTGGAAATGTGGTAAAAATATGTTAGGTAAAATCAATATAGGATAGCTAGACAGTCACACTTTTACATTTCTATACAGGATGTTTCACCACGAGCTTCCACTATCTACACTCAGATGTAAAAAAAAACGCAACGGAAAAATTTTGGTCAAATTAAAAGTATTTCAGTTTTTTTATTTTTAACCCTAATTTGATGATTGTTTTAGTACACTGTGTAAAAATTTATAAATTTTAATTTAGTATAGTGAGTTTTTTAATAATAGTTTGTATTTGACTTATTATACAGGATTAATCGGTCCCAATGGTCTCAATCGGTTATACACAATATTTGACAGTATTATATGCCACAGTCAGTAGCGTTATTGCCCGGTAGTTTTTGCATTGAAGCTGTGGGATAATTACTCCGGTATTCCAGTCTTGTTGCAGTTGTTTATTATTCCATATGTTCACTATTAGTTCGTGTATCGCATTCAATAGGGAGTCTCCACCTTCCTTTATTAATTCTGCGCTAATGTTGTCCAGTGATGTCCAGTAATATAATCCAGGTGACTTGTTGTTTTTCAGTCTGGTAACTGCATCTTGCATTTCAGCTACTGAAGGGGGGTTGTTTCTCTGGTATCCGTTTGATCAAGTATAATTCCATCATATAGTGGATCTTCGTCTTTTTTTAAACTTTTCTTTGAAGAATTATGTCTATCTTTGTAGTATTTCACTCTGTTGAGTTACTATATCTCCTTCTTTGTCTCTACACATAATTGTTCTTGGTTTAAATTCTTTTCTACTTTTGTTAAGTTTTTTGTAGAATTTTCTGTTTTCTGATGGTTTATTTAGTTCTTCCATTTCTTGGAGTTCTTTTTCTAGTGTTCTCTCACTAAAAAATCACCGTCATAAATATTCACGCGCCTTCAGAAGAAAAAGATAATGATGTCAAAGAATGTTTCTACAGTGAATTAAACAGAGCAATCGAAAATATACCCAGATATGATATGAAAATTATTTTAGGCGACGCAAATTCCAAAATAGGGAAGGAAGAAGTATTTAGACCGACAATAGGAAAATATAGTAAACACAATGAAACTAATGAGAACGGACAATTCCTTATAGATTTCGCAAGAGAAAAAAATATGATGATAATGAGCACATGTTTCGAAAGAAAAGAAATACACAGGGAAACATGGATACCGCCAGATAGAAAGACTAAAAACCAAATAGACCACTTGATAAGATAAGATAAGAACATACAGAGGACCAGACGCTGACTTAGATCATTACATGGTGGGCATCAAAATCGAGCATTCGATTAGCAGCAAAGAAAGAGCAAAAAATGTACGAGGAAACAATGAAAAGAGAACTAAAAAAGATACAAATAGATGGGCAAACTGAGAACAAATGGGAAGACATAAAGCAAATAATGAACAAAGTAGCAAAAGAATGTAATAAACAAGAGAATAAAAAGAGGAAAGACTGGTCTGAAATAGAGTGCCAAAAAGAAATAGAACTAAGAAAATCATTAAGGATGGAAATCATCACGAAAGAAACAACAGAGATAAAGAAGAGATATATGGATCAAAAGACAAAGAGTAAAGGGTGCTGAGAGTAAAAGAAGAAAAAACACATAGAAAATAAGTTAAAAGAAATAGAAGAGAATTACAGAAATAAAGAAATTAATAACCTATATCAAGGTGCTAGAAATGAAAAAAGAGGTTTCCAATTAAAACCGATATTCGTTAAAACAAAGCATGAATAATATAGCGGTGAAGCAGGCATGTTCGAAGGATAAGAAGAGCTATTTTGATGAATTACTAACCATAGTCATAAAATTCATAACCAACGAGAATGTATGGAACAAAAGAAGAATCTAACTACTTAGAATACGTAGACGATATTAACCCTGCAAGAGGACTGTTCGAGGAATCAGAAAACGTTTGTAAAACATTAATGCCCTGAGCGATAATAGCAGAGTATGTAAATATGATGAAAGCTGCCACTGATCGATAGATAAGCTCATTAAGGAGTATGGATAAAAGAACGAATACCAGAAGATTGGAAGAAAGCAATTATTTGCCCATTACAGAAAAAGGAGACAAAACAGAATGCAGTAATTACAGAGTAGTAGCGTTACTAAATACCGTATATAAATGAACAAAATCTAAGTTTATAGATTAGAATTAACACAGAATAGATAAACATTCAATAAATATAAACTAGATAATTGTAGACAATTCAAAGCAAAATCAGATCACTACAATAATACAATGAATGACACGATCTATTAAAGGCTTGGAAGATTTATATAGAGAACGAAACTTGAAAGTGCTAAAAACACAGAGACTTCGGTGAGTGCCATAAGCAAAGAATTGCAGAAGAAAGAGTGCCAAAAATAAGACTAAATAATCTGATATAACGTTCAATACCCCTTATCTACGATGAATAAAATATAATAGGAATACGATATTAATGGATCACGTTTGGAATGAACGTATTTGCTCAAAGATGTCGTGATATACCTGTAGACATATACTGCTTTTTTATTGACTTCCAAAAGGCATTTGATCGTGTTAAGCACTCTATATTGATCGAAGCTCTAAAAGACATTGGCTTGGACAGCAGAGATGTTCGAATAATTGCAAGTTTATATTGGAATCAAACAACATCAGTTTTAGTAGATGGTGTAGAATTACAGGCTCTCAATATTAAAAGAGGAGTACGGCAGGGATGCCTCTTGTCACCCCTGCTTTTTAACGTTTACTCCGAAAGAATTTTCTGAAAAGCACTTCCTGAAAAACAAGAAGGAATACTACTATGGTATGGGGTCCTAGACTGTGAATAAAATCGATCTCAATTGCCTTGAGGCTTTCGAAATGTGGTGCTATAGAAGAATTTTAAAAGTTTCCTGGGTGGAGAAGATTCGAAACTCCACAATACTAGAACGTCTCAGCAAGACTACTGAGATCATTAAAAGCATCAAGCAGAGAAAGCTGGAGTATTTCGGACATGTAATGAGAGATCCCAAATATAGGTTGCTATAAAATATCATGCAAGGAAAAATAGCAGGCAAACGCAGTCCAGGACGAAGAAGAACCTCATGGTTGAAGAACTTGCGAGATTGGTATGGTGTTGATTTAGGGTGGTAGTGAATAAAATTAGGATAGCTATGATGGTAACCAACGTTCTGAAAGGAAATGGTACATGAAGAAGAAGAAGAAAATATTAATAATAAAAAGATTACTATATAAAAAAGAGTTAAATAGGAATTCACGTGGAAAATTATTGCACAGTCCTCCTAGGCCTTTCAATATATCTATACATTTTTAATTACATTTCACTTATTTTTGTGACATCCGTTTTAAAAAATTTATTCATTTTTACAATTTTAATAAAAAATACAAAGGATAATTTTCACATCTTTCTACGAAAACCGACAACATCGCTTTCCAAACTTAATCCATTTAATGATTTCTTGTTGACAGTGAGACTTCGCGGTTGATGATGGCGTGGCGCATGCTTGAGCACATGGCATAGTATGTAGGGTTTCATAAAGCTGTATTAAATTGAAATTTAATTATCTGCAAATGGATACGTCACTTTTATTTCTGGACAAAATCATTGATTTCCGCTATTTTTTGCAGTCTATGTTATATTATATGAATTGCATTGACCTTCTAGCGCCGACAATTACCTGAATCAATTTTAATTATATACGAGGTGTAAGACAAAAGTATGCACATTTATTAGCAGTTTTCTTGTACTATTTTTTGTAGTCATGTAAGTACATTATTGTTATATTATGATCTAACATTCATCCAAATCTAAAATATCACCACTATCGCCTTTTTGACTGCTTTCTTGGTGCAACATCATCATGCTCCTTGCTTTTATTCCTATGTGTCTGTTTCCTTAATTACATTTTTCAACGAGTTTTTATTGTGGACTATACCAATAGTAATCCCTTTTATAGACATAGAACCGAGCTTATAGCAGTATCTATACTGTATGCTTGCTGAGTTTGATAGCAGTTATATTTAATTTGCCTTTCATTGTAATCTTTCATCATTATCACATGACACACTCTCTGTTAGTCTATCAATCGATATCTAATCAGCTGAAACTACAGTGGATTTCGTGACACTGTGTCTAGAGCACATGTTTTCTTTGATACATCAGTCATAATTTCTTTTACTTATTACATTATGATTTCTTCTATGTTATTTTGAAGAATACCAAAATAAAAATCAGAAATTTTAAAATAAACAATGTTTTATTTCTGTAATATACAAAATAAATAATTTATTTACAAAAAATTATATTTACAAACCTAAACAACAAATCAGTCTTTTATAAACAATTCTAAGAACAACATTTTAAACTAGGAATATTAATCAACTTCTTCTATCGTAGGCCCAGTCTGTCTTCCTCCAAATCCACCATATTGTTGTCCACAGCTACCTGGCTTGCCATTATTGTTTTGATTATTATTTTGACTTCCTTGGTATACTTTGGTCATGATAGGACTACATACTCTTGTCAATTCTTTCTGTTTATCTTCGTATTCTTCTTTATCAGCTAAAGTGTTGCTATCCAACCATT